ACTTGCAGATACAATACATCCCCGACACGGATAGAACTCTGTTGTGAAGTTTGCGGACGACACCACCGTCATCGGCCGAATTTCAAACAATGATTTAGACTTCATATCGGGAAGAAATTGATAATCTTCCATTGGTGTACAGAGAACAAACTGCTGCTCAATGTCAGCAAAACCAAGAAGCTGGTCATTGATTTCATTGATATCATTAAGGTGCCTACTCAGAGCCCAAAGGATACTAAAGGACAGTACCCACCCAGCCTGTTCACCCTGCTGCCTTCTGGGAAGAGATATGAGTTTCAGCTGCCCCACCACCAGACTGCAGAGCAGCTTTTTCCCTGAACTATCAGGTTCTTAAACTCAAATTCATCCTCAGCACTGCTCCATTGATCATTGAACATTGTTTATTTCTGTTTATCATTTGTATAATTTGCTTCTGTATTCATGTATATTGTCTGCTATGTAGCAGAAGGGAGTTACAAAACTCAATTTCATTATATAACCTGTTATATTGTGACAATAAATGTACCTACCTACCAGATGAATACCTTATGAGAATCAAAAGGCTTTTACTAGTCATGTTTCAACAGTAATCACTTCATCGCTGTGTGAAGAGACAGATTGATATTCATCGTCCCAAGTACCAGGTCAGGGGGATTAAAGGCTGGGTTCCTGTGTCTCACCACCACAAGACTTTTTTTACCATCTTGTGATCTATTGTTCGACATCAAGCAGTATGTGAACAGACTGATTTTCAGTGTAATCCAGATGTCCCGATTAGATAAGGTTACGTTATGTTTTGGATGAGCACGTACAGTTTGTATTGCTGTCACTCGTGCAACGTGGACCGTTGTACTAATTATGATGGTCGTTCTCTCTGTACCTTTGGCACTCCCTGTCCAAATGTTCAGTCCTTTTAGAAAATAGGTAGGCCACATTTGTGGAGAGGGTCAGGGACTTAGTAAGAGGTAAAATAGAGAGTAACTTACAAAAATAAAAAATAAAATCCTATCTGGCTGTCATTTGAATAAATTTGCGATTTTGCATAGTAGAGAAGAACTCTCCACCAGAACCTTTTTTTCCCATGTTGATCTGCCGCTGCTCTTTTTTCCCATGCTTTTCTTTGTGCCACTCACTCCGGCTAAACGCATGCCTACCCCGGCCCCTGGCTGTGGCTATAGCCCCGACCCGGCCCCAGCTGAGCAGTGCCAAGCTTTCCAGCAGTTAGTTAGTGTCTGTTCAGGCTCGGCTCGGCCTGGCCCAGCCCGGATACTAATCCTCAGGCTGTCAGAGGACCCTGCTCTGAACTCATCCTGCAACACAGGAAAACGCTCTAATTGGGGGATTTTCTACATCATTAACTCTGATGAGCAGCCACCCCTTCCTACCTCCCTCCTCTTTTCCTCTCCACTCTTACTCCCTCTGTCTCTGCCTCTCTTTCTCACTCCCACACTTTTCTCCTGCCTAATCTCTTTCTTAATGTTTCTCTTTTGCCTTTCTCCCACTCTGACTTCCTCACATTGTCTGTCTCTCCTTTCATCCTTTCTTGTCAAAGCATTTTTCCCCCTCTTTCATCCATTCAGTGTTATGTTTGTTCAGCTCTTTGGGAGCACCATGAGATGTGATCCTATACACAAAATGTGTACAGTGAAAGTTGTGAAAGTGCAATAAATCTCTCTTCTTACTTGTGCACTTTCTGCGCTTTATACAGAGTAAATTTATACCTGAGATTTGAGCTCAAATATTGGTTTTCTTTTCTTTTTCTTTACAGATCAAGTTCTGTCACATGATTCATAACTGTTTTTACCTCTGTTATATACCAACAACTAGCCCCAGTTTATGCCTCTCATATATTATCCTTATATTTGAGTCACAGAGCCAAGCAACCAAAGACTCCTCCAAACATCCGGATGAAAAAATAAATATGATAAACTAGTAGAGTACAGTATATCCTGCTCTTTTTGTTAAACATGCAGAAAATATTAACACATGAAAAATATAAAATGTTTAAGAAAACATTAACAAATACTAATTTAAATCATGATACATTTTTTTAATGTTGGTTCTGGTTGTACAAATTGAGCAAAGAGATATGTCACTTCATGCTTCCGTCTTGTAGGAAAAAGAGACATGATTTGGGAAATGGGTTAAAAATCTTGTTCATTCTGCAACAGATGGAATATTTTTTCACCCAGATGTTAAAAAGAGTATCTGGATTCTGGAAATGCCTTCAGAACAGCAGCAAGTGCTTTTAGATGACATTCTGGGTTTTCTGGGATCAACAAGTGTTTATGTTTCATAAAAATCAGTTGCTTAGCTCTGTCACCCGAGTGTAATGGTAATTTATGACATGCACAAACCAAAAACACACCACTGGAGAGTGATGGAGTATCTAATCACTTCAAAAAAACAAAAACATTTCTCTGTTACATCCACCGGCCTATCCATATGGACCTTGTAGTGAGGTCCATCTAGGCCTCCATCTGTCCAAGAAAGTGATTCACACACTGAGGAGGCCAGCTACCACTGCGGCACCGGTCCCTCTGTGAACATGTGTTGCAGCGGCTGAGCCTGCCAGCCTGCCTGCCTGCCTAGGGGCAATTAGGGAGTTGGGTCCTGCGGTCAGAGGCCCCCCTGGGAAGCCCTGATTGATTGGAGTCTCATCTTCCTAACAGGCTGGCATCCTGCCATCAAACCATGGAACAGCAGAGAGGATTGGGAGGGGTAACTGGGAGAGAAAGAGCTCTTATATGACAGAGAGAGACTGGGCACAAGTGTTAGAGGAAAAGAAAGAAAAACATCTCTGCCCATGTATGTCAGATGATAACGATTATACTGTAGTAATCTTGGATTGCTCTTTAGACTTACTGGGGTAAAAGAAACTGTGTGGGAATGAGTGCACAGGTCAACATGAAAGCACTGCAGTGAGAAAGTGGCGATCCAGCATTCTATTAAACTATATTTATTTTCAGTAGATCTTCATTCTTTCCAGAATATGGACATCAGGGATCCAGACAAAATCAAAAAGAAAGAAAACAATGAAATTGCTAGGACAGATATAACTAGGACAGGTAAGAAACAAAACATCCATAGGTACAGGATATTTATCCTGTTCACATAATAAAACACTAAAACTGTCAAACCTCTAGTGCATTTTTGTCCGATATCTAACCTTTGGCTTGTTCTTGGTCCAAAATCACATTTATGTAGCATCCTAAAGAAACTCGGTAGTCCTCTATGGTGTGAGGAACTGGCATTGTCCAATAGGGAGTCTAAACATCACTAACCAACAACGTAATAAAAACTACATGAAGACAGATGACAAGCAGCAGATGTAAAACTGTGCTTTTCCCTCTCTGAGCAGTACAACCAAGGGTTTAAAAATTAACCAGAAATTACATAATATTGTTCTTGCTGTGGTCTGTAGTCACATTATATTAAAGTGAAATATCACAAGGATATAAAATGGACAGTAATGGGCAAAATCATTGAGTCTGAAATTGCACTTTAAGAGGAAGGTTAATGTTCCCCTCTTGTTCCATAAGAAAGTCAAAAATGTTAACATATCAGGTTACCACATATATTTTCTACCTGTACATATTCACTTATGTGAGATGCCATCTGTAGATACAGTTGCTAAAATGTCTCAGTACAAAATACAAATCTATTTAGCTGTTCTGCTTACATGAAACACATTGTGGTTAGGTTTGATCTTCTCTACCTTTAAGACAATTAGAGCTTGACTCTATAACAGATGGTAAAAGACCAAAATTGTGTCACTAATGACCATAGCAGCTACAATCCATGTTTCTCCTCCTTTGATTGAGAAAGAAAAAAAACTTCCATGACAAAATGATTACAAGGGCCTATTTAGTGCAGCCTGAGACTCCCGCACCCCCCACCCCACCCGCCCCCTTCAATTTCAGACAAAGAGGATACACTTGGATCAATTGTGCCGAACAAAGACTAAACTATGTGGGGTGACGCATCACACAGGGCTCTTTCTGCTGCACTGCACGTACACGCAACCACCCAACACTGAGCTGCCAACAGGTTTTCTCCTCCAACAGCCATTCAAGCAAAAAGCGGGTTACTCAATAGCCTGTTTTTCATTTATACTTCCTTGCTTCCTTGCTTCCTTGCTTCTTTAAAGCATCTCAGCAAAATCACAAAAAGATTATAATTGTGCAGAATAATTTTTGGTATATTCTCAACCCTGGTCCACTCAGAAATTGCCATCACATCTCTGACTCTAGTACACTTTGCCAACAAACAATGATCTCTCCGTATATTTAAAATCACAACAGTAGGCCTCACTGTTCCTCCACTGTCACTTGCAACATAAACCATGTTATAATTGGGAGATCAGCTTAAAACCAGTTGCACAGCTTTTATAAATCAACAGATCATGCACTGAGACACTGATTAGCTGACCCATAAAAATGTGACAATTGGATTAATTAGTAAAAACACAAACTTGTTTTGTCTGACTTTTTTTGATGGTTGACAGAAATTAGCTGTCATAAGGGACATATAAACATCTGTAGGTATTAAAAACTATTTTGCCTGTAAAACGTGCCTGTAAAGAAACAACGGTTTGTTATGAAAAGTGGTTTATAAGGAAAGAAAATTCCTTGCTCCTGGGGTGCAAGCTGCGATCAACGACATTTGCTTTTACAGGACCCAGGGCAACGCTAAACATGTAGAGAACTTAAGTCTGGTAATTGATGGTTTAACATCAACAATTTAACAAAACTGTGGAGTTCACTTGTCTGCTTCAGGTCCTTGAGATGAGGAAAATTTTTTAAAATGAAGTCCAAAGAAAGTCCTAGAATCCTCAGTTTTCACAGTTCAAAATCCATTTCCTTCGCTCTATGGGTAATAGACACATCACTGCCATATTTTCCAACATTTTACTCCATGTCTGTTACCCTGAACCCTAAGGAACAACTTCAACAGCTACCTTTGCCAATGTCATTCACACGGACTGCCAGGTTTGTTAGTCACATGGGTTGCCAAGTCTTGTCCATAGACTGGATGTGTTCCTTGGCTTTCATTCTCAGTGCAGCGATACTAGAGCTGCGATGCTCCACATCCTCCAGAGGGTATTTATCAGGGTATGGCGCCGAACACTGGTAGGGAGGAGGAGCCATACTCTGCATCCCCTGGCCCATAGATGGATGAGAGTGAGGATGAGCGTGAGGATGAGGATGAGAGTGAGGAGTGGAGTTGAGGAAGCCATGGCTGGGGTAGCTGGGCTGGAGGCCTTGAGCTGGACCCATGAAGCCTGGGATACTGTGGACAGGTGTAGCGCTGGACAGGGGAGAGGACAGCCAGGGGTCCAAGGGGAGGGAGTTGGTCATTGGACCCATGCTGGTGTGAACCGGTGCTGGGCGGTTGAAGGACAGCATGGGTGAGTCGTGAAGCTTCATGGTGCTGGCATCCAGTTTTTCCTGCCGACGCCATTTGGCTCTGCGGTTCTGGAACCAGACCTGAAGGACAAAACCATCATAATTTCAGGCTCATAATTTGCTGTTTAAACATTGGAAAAATAAATATTTCATAAGTTCATCTTAATAAGAAATGATTCTCCATTACCACAGGCACATTGAGCTTCTCAACCCAACACACAAAAACACTGTTCAAACCTAAAATTATTTAATTTGAAATTTAGCTGCAAACACATAGAGTAGTAGTTAAACACCTTCAAGCACCTTGACATTGTTACACTGCATGTAGTGTGTGTTTATCTGCAGCCAAACATTTCTTGAAAAGATCATAATGAATAATTTCCACACACTACAAATGTTCTTGCCACCAGCTATCACGTCACATGATAACAACTGAATCATCTCTATGACAACTGAGCAAACTTCAACCACTGATAAAGGCTATGCAGCTTCTGAACTTTTCAGTAAGAATTTGTGATCCAATTCTTTGCACTTAACTTCAGTTCCAGCTGCTGAATCCAGTTGCTTCTTGCCAACCTTAATGGTGTCATTTTGTCTTAAGTTTGGCCCTATTGGGTGTCAAAAGAAGCCCCTGTCTCGTTTAAAGACTGCACCTTCTTGTCCTTACAACACTATGTGATGTTGGCATTGTGTGTTTTAATACACACAAATCCTGCTTACGAAACTATTTAGTACAATCTCCTTACCTGAATATTGACAGGCCAAAGGCCAAAGGCTTGGCGTGTTCTTTTCGTCCTCAGAGCACCTCAGCATTTGGCAACATACCAATTTAACTCTTAAGGTTAACTGTCAGCTTGTGATGTGGTTATCTAATTATTCCACTGCTGCAATATATTAAGGAATGGCCCAAAACAAGAGAACACAAAAGAAAAACAACCATGAACACTGTAGAGACAAAATATCTTGTGACTGACTCAATGTTCACATTTCTGATGTCAAATGATCTGCTGATCTGCTTATATAACTATAGACTTGTTTGTACACACTCATGTTGTTGCCTCTGGTGTTGTGGTTCCTCTTACCTGAACTCGGACCTCGGGGAGGTTCACCTTCATGGCGAGCTCCTCACGGCTGTACACGTCTGGGTAGTGGGACTTCTCGAAGGCACGCTCCAGCTCATGCAGCTGATAGGTGGTGAAGGTGGTGCGGTTGCGCCTGTGCTTCTTCTTGGGCTGATCATCCTTGCAAGGCTCTGGAGAATTGCCTTCATCACTCTCTATGCTCTTCCTCAGTTCGTCCAGTTCCTCATCACACTTGTTTGTGTATAAGCCAGTATCTGTGCAGTACACAAGAGACATGAATCAATGCTTTATATTTTCTTTATATATGATGTCATAGTTTTTTTTATTTTAAAAATGTGTGATTATCAAAACTGTGTGTTTCAAGTATGAACTCAAATGAAAAACAAGAGCAGAATGGTACGTTGAAATGAAGAATGTAGTGCACACTTTCCAGTAGAGCAGACATTAGTTTGACACCTGCAACAATAGGCTACTGTAGGTCAGTGAAGCAAGCAATCCCCTGAACTGCTATAAAGCTCAAAAGCATTCCTAATCGGATTTAGAAAAGTTGTTTCCAGTGTTCATCTCCTCTAAATGTAAACTGTCTTCAAAAAACATGTTTAGAAACAAGAATGGTCCCTGAACTGCAAGCCACATTGTTGTTTCCACTGCATCACAATCACAATCAGATCAGTTGCTCTTGTGAAGCAGCTACTCTTAGTAGTTCATTATGTCTACCAGCATCAGACCTGAATCAGATACAATGCATCGTTCAGGTTGTGTTGGATAAACTGTCAACCCAAAAAGTAGGTTAAAATTTACTTTTAAATACTCTGCTGGTAGAAGTTTTGTTTAAGAAGTGCATATTTGGCATCTAAGTGGAAAGAAACAATTATTTGGCATGAAATAGTAATTCTACAGAAAATCCCATCTTGTCTGTCAAAATAAAACTTTATCAATTAACTCCTACAATATATGGTTAGACAAAAAAACTGAACTCAAGGCTCATGTACTAGCTCTTTCCAGATCGAATCCATTCAAGTCTCCCTGCCTTTTTTAGTGGATGGAGTTTGCTCAGTTGTCAGAAAAGTCTAGTAAGTCAACTTTAAACCTGCAATAAGACATTTTTGGCCTGTCTGTCTGCCTTTTGGTGCTTAGCAGGTAGTGTACAGTGACATTTTAGAGCTTTTTTGTTGAAAACAGCTTCCTGCTGCTGCCCAAAACTACACTCTGAGAGCAGTGAGAGTGAACCAAAATATTAAAGTTGCGGGCCAGACAGCTAAATAATGAGCTGATAGTCCTCTGTAAGTATATAACCACGAGCAAACCCTGTTCACATTGTCAACTGATGCATTGTAAGTCTAAAAATGTTGATTATAACTGCTTTAATTTACAGTTTGTTTTATGTCAAATGAGCATTTCTAAAGTCAAGAATTAACCTTTATGCTTATCTACTATTGTTCTATCTACTGCTTCAGTAAAACAACTGACAGTAGACAAATGTAAATGTGAGCATGTTTCTGTGACTGAGATGTGTTGATGGAGATAAAGGAGGGGTCATTGTGGTCTTTCAACTGGCAAACGGGAGCAGAGGCAAAGCAGGACTTTGGGGGTTCATTTATCCACCTCTCATTAAGCAGCTATGACAAAGGCCAGGCTCTGACAAAGGCAGAGGTCAGGTCTGGTTCAGTGATCAGCTCTTGGCCTGTCAGACCATCACAGCCGCTGGTCTGAAGGCTGCCCACTGTTTATCAGCCAGCAGAACATCTCAGCACAGAGAGAGAGAGAGAAGGGGGGCGAATGACACCAAACACAGAAAAGTTGCTCATTCAGGGGGAACTGGGCTGACTTCACAGGACAGTTACACACAAAAGAGTGATGTCATTGGTGTTGATGTACGTTAATCAAGATTCAGCGACTGAATTTGAATCACTTATTTTTTTTCTGGACAAGACATATCTGTCTGCAGTTCATTTGTGTTTCTGCCACAAAATCACCAACCACCTGCCAGATCCTGCACGTGAAAATAGCTTCAGATTAAACGTGATGAATTCTGAGACAGTACGATAACAATAACACCCGAATGAACTACTGTACAATCTAATCTGCACAGAAGAGAAGATTAGGGGAATTCCACAATGGGATGGGATTGGGTTTGGGGACATAAACCCCCTACACCATCTTGTTCTGTGATTTATCTCTCAATCTCAGCCCACACAGTTCACACAGTTAATGCAACAGGCTCCACATGGCAACAGTGTGTAACACAGTGGTTCTGAATCTACATTACTTTATGGTCAGTGGTCAAAAAACATTTACGTTTGCTCAGTGGTATCAATAACTTGCTCAGTGGTATCAATAACCTAACTTCAGTGCAGCAAAATCAATTCTTTCTTATCAAATTCAAATCGTAGAAACGCTGAACCCAGAGCTCATACTTATCCAGCCTTCCCAGACCAGAGGTGCCGCTGTTCAATCAATATCCTTAACCATCTCATGTGTCCTATTCATAAACTTTATCCTCAATAACAAACTCAAACCCTGAACTCTGCACTGCCAAGGAACTCAATCAAAATAAAATTGATACCTGGTGGTGTGAAACTAAGTGCTCTAAAAGGTGATACTTCTGTATAAAACTTTGCCAGGATGGAGTCCAGACTCACCATGGTACTGCTGCTGCTGCTCGGTGCTGCTGTTCCTCAGAGAGGAAAGGTGCCCACTGTATGTCGGGTGTGACGAGGGCTCCTGCTGCTTCCCAGGTTCTGCCAGACCTTCTATGTCCACTTTATGGGGCTGTGGGGCCCCTGCAGGGCTGAGCAGGGGGTCCTGGTCTTTACTGAAACCTAGAATGACATCTATGCTGTGGACGCGGCCCCCGCCAACGATGCCCCCACCTTTCCCCATTTCGTGGAAGTTGCTGGGTGAGAGGCAGCTGTCGTCCACCATGCTCATGGTATCCAGTGATAGATGCATTAGAGCGTCTGGGCACTCTCCCGGGCCTGTGGTCAGAGGAAAAGAGATGAGTGAATGACTAAAGCCACAGAAGCAGGTGAGCGATCACCTGGTTACTTGACTCTCCGTCCATCCATCTAAACCCACTTCTCCTCTGCAGAGTCGCAGGGGGTTGAGAGTCTATCCCTTAGACTCTGACAGCTGATGGACACTAATAGCACAAAAGTTAGGTCTTAATACATACCTTTTACATTTGTAACACACATTTTTTAATAAATGTTCAGCACTAATGACCCTACAGTGTTGATTATGAATATGAATTAACTGCCCAATTTAAAATGTATATTAAATTCCTACTTTTAATACAAAACAAAGACTACGTTTCTCACAAAAACCCAACCTTCAATAAAGCACTCAATTCATTCACTGGTCATATCATCTTTAGATAAAGTAATGCATGTTGCTGAAAAAAAAATGAGGTTTATGTCTTCGAAAAGATATGTCTACAAAAAGGTGGAAAAGAGGGAAATGCAGAAGAAAGAAGAAGAGCCTTTTGGCCAAATCTGAGAAATCCAGTTCGTCAAACGGATGTTATTTAATGTGCACTGTCCCCAATAAGAAGAAATAAGGTAAAGTAAGTAAGTAAAGTAAATTTGCTGGATTGGAATTGTTGTTGTTTTTTTCCTGTATTCTTTTATCTATCATTTGTGTTATAAATGCACACATCTAATTTCAGGTACTCACACATGGAGTTTATTCTTTTCTAGAGCACCAGCATACGTTTGTTGAGTGCATCCCAAGATTTACTGATTGAACACACCGCTATCTTTTTGGATCTCCAGTTTTTGGCACTTGTATGACAAGTATAACAGTAACAGCTACAAAATGAGACAGCGGAGGAGCTTACCTTTTGGAAGTAAATATGCTGAACTGTTAAAGTTGCTGATGCCAGCGCTCCACCTGTTCTTCTCAGCAGCTCACCCTCCAACTTCACTCTTCCCAGATCGTGCAGTCACTGAGCTAGCTTTGCTTACCATGCATCTCTCTCTAAATAATTCCTCTATGTATGTCCTGACAGAAACAATCCAATAAAGTGCAACTGAATAAAGCCACCCAGTGCAAAGAACGTTCAACTGAGTTCAGGCGCCATGCACTCCAGCTCAGAGAGGAGAGTGAAGGAGGAGAAAGACAGACAGGGAGAGGTGGACAAAGCTGAGGGGGCGTAAGAGGTGAAACGAGGGGATTAGGAGAGGGTTATTAATTGGAATCCTTCCCCCTTAAGAGTGATTGGCAACCGTTTTCTAATAGTAATTGTTTTAAATGTCATTTCCATTCACCACCACAGGAGGAGGCACTGGCCAATGAAGCCTGGACATGACTTTCTTTTGTAAATGTATTGTTTTTAAGACAAAGACCCACAGAAAGTTTTCACTAAGCTCACCCAGCTTTCCCATTATGTGGAAAAACACATGTGGTAAAAAACTAATATCAGCATAAAGACTACCAGTATGTGCATGTAACCACAACATGTATTTAATTGATAAAAACTGTAATTCTCTAAGACAATGATAGGCCTGATAGACTTGATGGACTCTATTAGATGTTGTCTTGAGAAAGCTTAAACATATTCTGTATCATTGAATCTCTGTTGTTACATTCTGTACAACTTTGGTTTTGTCTTTTCAAAAAGTTAATTACAATTTGTTAGTAATTATTGCGGTGACCGTCATTTTTTTATTAAAAACTTTTAATTAAGTAAAAAAAACCAAGGCACAAACAAAATAAGCTGTTTAGCCTTATAAAGGAAAGGTAACCCACCAAGCCTGTTCAGTTTTACAGGTGGATTACCTCCATTAGATTGGTGTCAGGTGACGCTGGCGTGGTAGGGGAGATGGTGGTGCAACGGGACATTGGACACATTCATGTTGGTGGCTGAAAATCTAGTGCAGCACCCCAGTAAGTAAAAAGTGGGCCAAGCTGGAAGAATTGCACAGGAGGTGCAGTATTTCTTCAAGGCCTTTAATGTGAGGCTTTTTAACATGTCCCTTTGGATTTAATGCTGCTTTTGACAATGAGACGACACTCTGATATGATAATAAACAGACTCCTCAAGGTTGTGATGCTTGTTGTTGACTGGAAACAAAACTGGCTCATTATCACCACAGAGTCAGTTTGTGGCTCTGAATACGTGGATGTTGTTTCTTTGTGTACTGGAGCACAAAAGTGTCTGATGGCAGCTTAAATATCAGCGGAGACTGCGCATTTCAAAGTTGACCCCAGTTTAGCGTCACAGAACTCAACCCCAACTCCAAAGACGCTAAAGAGATTTCCTGTGTCCTCAAGCATCTAAAGCTAACCCAAAGCAGTAAAATAGAAAAACCGATTTAGTTTCAGTCTTTACTACTGAGAGAATATCCACATGATAAAATATGTAAAACAGAGTGCTGAGATTAAAAACTTTTAATGGTAAAGGTGCAGGTTTTAAATGGTAAATGCACAGAAACAAAGTTTAAAGTGGGTTCTTTGGTTTAAGAAGTTAATGGAAAGGTAGAAATGTACAGTACAGTAAGGGGATGAATTGTGAATTCTGAATCATTAACAACATCACACATCTGAGCTGAACACACCAGTAAGACTCAGTCTATATGTGTACTGGTCGTCCATCAGCTTAAATCATGTGCCAACTGATGGACACATGGTACAATGTTGCATGAATGTATTCAGATTAAACTCCTAGCCTTAGTAATATTGTTTCAGTCTTGTAATTTATACCAAAGCATACATACAAAAAGATATTGTCACTGTCTAGAATGATTATTAACGATGCATTAGAGACACAAAAAGTCAATGGAAAAAGTTGAACCACTCCAAGCATAATGTTACAAACTTAGGAGTACACTTCTGCAGAATGTTTCATGCTGTGACAAGTATTTATTGGGCATCTGGTGTTAAAAGTAACAGTTTCAGTTAAGCACATTTTCTATACAGGGAGGTAGCCCAGTTCCAGCCCACATCTTCCAGGTTTGTCAGTGTAGTTATTATTACAAAATGCCAATTCAGTCTGGTTACTTGGGACTGAGGTAAAAGTCAAAGTTCTAATAATGAGCTGAATAAATGACCATAACTACCTTGAACTGATACTTGCACATTCAGGCAAGAAAGATCAATAATTCTGGTGTTTTCTCTTATGTCTGCTTCTTCAATACCACTGTTCTGCCGGTGGGATAATCCAGATGTATAAGGCTGAATTTTGGGGAAACACATAACATAATATTTACACCTGACTGAGAGTGGCAGTCATAAAAAAATATTCCAACTGGTGCGTATTTAAAAACACATAACATATTTTCTTTATGAGCTTGTTAGCTTAAGGACTGACTGTTATCTGACTGACTGTTCATCATGTGACAACTCATAGGTGTTATTCAAACCAATGACTTGGTTATAAAATCTGAAATAAAATCCAGACTTTATTTAGGTTAAACTCATCTCAGAGAGGCTTATCATCATTTCAGTTTCAATTTAGATTTTAGAACCAATAGTATACAATCAAACATGCAAAATATCAATAACAGAGGCATTAACATTATGAATAATAAGTTTCAGACCAGATAACCAGTGTAACACAATAACATTTTGCGATCCTTCATTTCCAAAAGTGTCACCAGTCTTTTTGCACCATGACTCTCACTGCCAACAAGCTTATGGAGTAATGAAAGTCTAATGAGAGGTGCTTGTTTATCCCCCCACGATTTTGTTAATTCATTTTTGTGCTTCCAATGTTTCTCTATTATCCTAATTGAGCATAAATTGGTTAAGAAAGAACAGTGTGGTTGTCAAGCTGCTTAGTTTTATCAGATGACAATGTAAGTCCCTCTGATCCTATTAAGAGGTAAAAGCAGCTAACGTGTAAATGCCCAGTGTCAGCTTACTGAGGGAGCTTGAGCGGGGGCGGGAGGCGACAGGGAACGTGATTCATGTGATTCTCTAACATGCAAAAGCACACACACAGAGCCAACGCTGTGCCGTGGTCCTCCTCTGTGGGGTTAGAATTCAATGAAATTGTTGCGATTATTTCCATAGTAACAACAGTTACGCTGCTTCCAAGCAATTTTGACAGAAGGGTAAGAACAGGAAAACCTGTTATTCCCTGGATCTGACTCAATAGAAATAGGTTATTCCAACTAAGTTGCTTATAATTATGGCCTAAACAATTTGGTATGAATGCGACATTACGGCAACCACAGACCATGTGTCCAAGACATACAGCCAAAGGTCTGATGGTACGATGATCGATCTTTGGCCTAAGGTGTTCTGGTACCAACTTATAAATGCCTTTATGTTCAAACAGTGCAGAAGTCCAATAACAACACACCACGCTGATCAGGCAGGCCATTCCTCCTTATCACCCCCCTCCAGGTTTTGCCATCGTTGCCCATGTGAGCGTTGAAGTCTTTGAATAGAAGTATAGAATAGAGTATAGAAGTATAGAGTCCACACCGGGAATCCCTTCCAGGAAACCACCCAGAGACTCCAAGAAGGCCAGGTACTTTGACCTGCTGTTCGGTGCATAAGCACACACAGTTGCATAGAGGTGACCCTCTCACTATCTGGGGAGAACTCCAACCCAACGGCACTCAGCCGGACGGCACTCAGCCGGAGGCTTGTGAATATCTCCACAGTTGCTTGGCAACTCTGGAAAAGGAGAGTCCAGCCCATTTCCAGGAGTTTGGTTCCAGGTCCAGTGCAATGCATAGAGCTTAATCCAATAGAAACTCACAATTATGTATTTAAAAGTATTTTGCAATTTTCATCCAAAATACATTTGGATGTTACATTTATAAATAAACATTTATGCATTTAACAAACTATTAATCATTTGTGAACTTTATTGCATTTGTTTTTTGAGACTCCCCTGCCTCGGCTCACAAAAGCATTTTTCAGCACAGGAAAAAGACTCTGAAAAACAGAATGCAGCCTTCAACTGTAGCTATATATTTATGGCCTTACATTTACCTGCA